TTCCCCCTTAACTTCCTGGCTGCCACTGAACCTTCTTGGCGGTTTCCAAAGTTCTTTTTTTTTCCCGAAATGTTCGCTATAGTTGGGAATCATAGTATGTAGCCTGTTCAGAATTCGCTTCTTTTCCCTTTAGTAATATCCATGCCTTGATGAATAAGGGCTGCCTATAAAACCCTATATGCAGGTGTGTGTGTGCGCGTGTGTGCGCGTGTGTGTGTGTTTTCCATGAATTCAGTTTTTAACCAGGATAAATGAAAAGACACACAAGTAAAAATATTCAAAAATCTTCTGGACATTTTCAAGTTAGCATTTGTAAGAGAGATAAAACCTAGATATATACATTTGTAGTATTCACCCTTTTTCCAAGTTCTTTAATGAAACCTGCCCATATCCCATTTATTGTACTTAGTGCTGGAAATGCAGAGTTCAGAATTACAGAGTACTTTAGTTTAAGGATCTCACAGAATCTTGGGGGGAAAAAGAGACATGATACAAAATAAGTATTAGGGAGTTACGATCCACTCCATTGATGGAGCAGAGAAAGCTTCACAAAACTAACAGCACTTGAATTGAACCTTGAAGAACCACCTGGAGGTTACAGGCAGATGATTTGAGCATAGTCATATACAAATTTATACTTCAAAAAGGTGAAGCATAGGCTGGTGTTGTGGAAATAAACTATAAAGATAGGTTGATCAGCTGGAGAATTGTTTTTATGTCCTGCTAATGAGCTTGAACTTTTTTGCATATTAGCCATAATCACTGAGTGATTGAAGCATAGGTGTGACGTGAATGAAGATTTTAGAAATATAATCTGTTTGTCTGTATGGAGGACAGTACAGAACACATAAATATGACACAACAAGAGACTAGGAAAGCCAATGGGACAATTCACATATAAAGGAGACTGATCTGAGATGTGGCAGTAGTAGTCAAGTGTGAGAGAAAGATTTGGAAAGTATTTAAAAAGTTGAATTCATAGGAAAATTACATCTAGTATTGCTTATCTTATGCTTATACCTCTTTTTAAAAGTTCATTAAGATCTATTTGATTTATGAAAATAATGGTACTACAAAGGAAGTATAAATAGATATACTACTGATTTTGTGTCACAAGGAAAACTTTTAGAATTATTTTTCTATATTCCCTAACCAGAGTCCTCAAAAAATGCTGTTTCAAAAAAATGTTATTTTTCTTTTTTAATGTACATTTGATAGGACTAGGTTTCTGTTTTATAGTTTTCAGATGTCAAATATAAGGAGGCATGTGTTTCTGCAAAAAAAAATAAATGAGACTTAAAAGAATCAAAGGGCTATTGTTTTGTAGCACAGTGTCCTAATGATTAACATGTGACATGTAATCAAAGGTTGGGATAGATCTAGAATAAAAGTAAATAAATTTCTCAAGCACTTCTCAGATAATCAATATTGGCGTATTCTCTTGGTACACGAGGATGAACAGAAGAGGTTAAATCTACAAGCATTAACTAATTAATTGTCTTTAATTAGCAATTTGGTTTTTCCACATGAGTAACTTTGTTGGAAAGTTATTGCCTTTTGTAACTGCAGGGTAACAATTTGGTAATAAGATGCTTTAAGAATAAATTGAGATATGGAGGTAATAGGTGTAATTATGATTAGAAATTAAGACAACAGCCAGGTGATTTACTATGGTAGCATTGATAACCTGAAAGCAGGCGGAAATAAACTGAGAGAACAGTTCAGATACTATTGTTGCCATTGTGGTTGTTGCTTATTGCCAGAATCATTGTGTGTGTGCGCCCGCGCGTGCGTGTATATGCAAATGTGCTCTTTTTCTCTTTTCATTTCAGCTATGACAGTGATAGCTGGTGCCCACCATTACCAGTACAAACATACTTGCATCAAGGCATGGAAGATGAACTGGAAGAAGACGATGACCGTGTCCCGACACCTCCTGTCCGAGGCGTGGCTTCGTCTCCTGCTATTTCCTTTGGGCAGCAATCCACCGCAACGCTCACTCCATCCCCACGGGAAGAGATGCAACCCATGCTGCAAGCTCACCTGGACGAGCTGACAAGGGCCTATCAGTTTGACATAGCAAAGCAAGCGTGGTAAATATCATCAGCCGGTCAGGGGGGCCTGGCTTTCAAAACATGGAGAGAGGAAATGTGATTTCCTATTAAATTCACAAGAGGTTTTCATGGAACTATACTGCTGAGGCTAGAAATGCTTTTGTACAACTTTTCAGTCATCTAGATAAGGAAATTGACTGAGGAAACATTACATAATTTGACCAAAGTTTCATAACTAGTTAGAGTGAATCGGAGCAAGAAGTTAGATCTGTTGAATTTCAGGTGAAGGTGCTTTTGGCTACACCAGAGTCTTTTCTAATTTATAGTTTAAATTTAATTAGCTTATCCTTAAACTCACTTCCAATACTATAATAAAAGACTCCTTTCTAGATTATTTAAGGTGCCTATAATTAATTCTGTATGTGGTTGTGAATATATAAATGTAAGCTTCTGCAAATCACATATGGTCAGTGTCAGTTATTTAAGACCTTCTTTGGGGTGAATTAAATGAGACAGGAAAAATTACAATATTAGTAACAGTAAGTGAATTAAAAAAAACAGAATAATTACAACTCCAAAATTGTTTTCTTTCTATTCAATCTAAAAACTTGCATAAGGTATAAATGGAAATCTACTTAGATGCCCTGTGAAAATACGACAGGAATACAAGTGGACCAATCCTCATTATTTTGTGTAGTTATTTTGTCATTTGCCCTCTCTTCTCGGCTTTTAAAATGATATCTTAATAATATACCTTTGATTATCTTCTGTTAATTTATACCATGTGCTTGAAATTAGAGTAAATTTTTATGACAGATTATTTGCTTCTTTTTCCTAGTTCTGGCTACTGAAATAAGTTGATAATAAGATAAATCTTATTCACAGTGTTAATGAATTTTTTAAATACAACTAAATACACAAAGATACACTAAAACCAGGAATATCACTTAAAGCTTATTACAAACATAAGGTCTTTTCTTAGAAATAGAGGTTCTTGAACTTTCACAATTATCAGATTTTTTAACAATCTACTTTTAAACAGTGTTATATTACATCAGACTGCTTTATAAAATAACACTTTTTCAGGTGAAGCTGGAAAATTTCCTTCAAGTGGACTTATGAAGCTGTGCAGTTTAGTTACTTAGCACAGATTCCAGCTCTGGGTTCTCAAATATGACTAAATTTGAAAATCACCTGGACAGCCTTAAACTATGTTGATACCCAGGCCCTGGTCTGGAGAGTCTAATGGCTTGCTGTGGTATTTGACTGAGGGGAGCCAGGTTGGGGCCACCACCACTTAGGAGTTGTATGACACTGGGCAACTTATTTAACGGTTCTGTGCTTCAGTTCACTAGAAACCCCACAAACTCACAGGAAGCTGTTACACTCAGTTCAGTGTATTATTGTGAAAAGATACAGATTAAAGTCAGCCAAGAAAAGAGATGCCTGGGGCAGAATCCAGACAGCTCCAAAGACACACTTCCAGTTGTCTTCTCCCAGCGGCAGTGTGCAAGGAGCGTTGCCCACCAGGGAACCTCACTTGAGCCCTGAGGTTCAGAGTCTTTATCGGGGCTGCCACACAGACATGGTGGACTTCCTGCATGGCTGACCTCGATCTCCAGCCCTTCCAGAAGGCAAGCTGATACCTTGTGACTCAAGGGTCCCACCGTAAGTCTCAATGCTAGACTTTCTGGAGGAGCTGAAGGCCTCCGAAAAAACACACAACAACAACCAAAGACATTTTTATCAGCCAGAACATTCTAGAGCTTAGAGATTACCTTCCTGGAGCACAGGGCAAAGGCCTGACGTCTCTTTAGGCAAGGAAAAGCTTATTACTATGCATCATAGTTTTGTAGGAATTAAATGAGTTTGCACTTGTGTGGCTCTGGTAAAGAAACTAGCTATATGACCGCTGATATTATTCAAATGGGCTTGGGTTTCCACCTGAATGGTTCACTGCTGTCTTCTACGCTTAGAGGAGGGCCCACTTCGTGCATGCTCCACAGACATTTCCTAACTGAGTTCACCTCCACCTGCTCCAAGTGCCCATAGAGCAGACCCTGCTTTCCCAGTATGTTTCTCTTCTGTCCAGCAATCCCAGAATGCCCTCGCTGACTCCCATGCAGGGATATGAGACACAAGGACATAAGACCTTGCCCTTCTGGAATGGAAATGCCTCTCGCCTGGGCTGCACATCAACATCACAGGAAAAACATTTACAAAATAGTCACTCCCAGGCTTAAACTCCAGGGATTCTGTTCACATTGACCCCTGACCTGCTCAGCATAGTGCCTGCCACGAGGAGATATTTATAATGTGTGTACCCTCTTTCTGCATTTCAGTATATCTCCTAATGCTGCCAAACTCAGAGTACAATTTCACCCCTTAATGTAGCTCTGGCCCATCAAGAGGTGTAAGCAGTGATGTAGGACGAGTGTGTTAGACTGTCTGGTCCTCCCCAGGAGCCAAGTGTCCACCCTTAAGGAGAATGAATTGTGTATATAAATGGCATCTTATATTCACTGGCTCCTGACTGGGCTCACTTCTTCCTTGATTCACAAACAGGATTCGAGGCCACACTTCCAGGAAGGTGTAATCGTCCACACTCAAGACTTATTGTAGAAATAGTTAGGGAACCAGCTGACTTTTCAAAGAAGGCTTTGTTATGAATTTCAAACAATCATGTGGGACCTCACAGTCCTGGTCTGTTAAATTAAAGATGTGGGCCTCATGATATACAGGTGGCTACTGGAGCTAACATATTAGGTTTGATTTTTAAACTGAAAGATCTAGATTCTAGAATCTTGTTAACATTGGAGTTGGCTACAAATTTAAGAATGCAGTTTCAAAAGGAATAGTAAGCAATGAAATATTTCCCTCAAAATGCAAATATTAAAATGATCTTACATCTTTAAATAAAAAAACTAACAGTAAAAATGCATAGCATTTGTTTTATATCTCCTTATATAGCAGATGTCTTTTAAATACTTTGTATAAAAAAAGACAGTGTGTCCAAGCATGCAGTATATTCACTCTTTAATGACAATAACAAATGCAGTGTGATTTCATTTAGCATTTCATGGTTTACAGGGGTAGGGAACCCTTTTCCTGACAAGAGCCATTTGGAATTTTATAATGGCATTAGCGGGCCATACAAAATTATCAACTTAAAAATTAGCCTACTATATTTGGTCAATCATTTAATTAACTCACCCCTAATGCTTTGGCAGGGCCAGATGATTTCAAGGGCCTTGTACAACCCAATGGGCTGGACATTCCCCACCCCTGATTTAGAAGAAACTCTTAAATACTCAAAAAGTAAACCAATTGGACCCCAGCATCCAGTTCTACATTTTACCAACCATGTGATTTGAAAAAATCATTTAATTGGACTTCACTTTAATAATGTTGAAAAGAGAGTTCTATCTGCTTCACAAGGTTGAGATGAAAGGTATTCATTCATTCAAAGGGTTTACTTATTGAGCACACCTGAGGGCCTAAACTCAGTGCTGAGAGGAGTCTCTTCTGCTTTCAGGTGCTTAGACTTCGGTGGGTGGGGCCGATGCACCAATAAGTAGCTAGAACACAAGGTGGTCATTCCTCCTCTAAACTGGTTTAAAGTGAAAACACCTGTCAGCCTGCATCGGGGCTGGTGCAGGATGAAAGCCTGTAGGGCAGGGACTGTGCTCAGGGTTGGGGACAGGGGCGTTGGTATTAGGCCTCTATGTGACATCTCTTCTTCCTAAGGGCCAGCAGGTCACATAGGTTACACAGGTTGAGTAGAACTCTGACACTAAGTTGGGAACAAAATTATCATATTCTTTTTGGACCAAAATACAGTGGGGCCTTGACTTATGAGTGTCCCGACTAACGAGTTTTTTGAGATACCAGCTGTCTCTTCGCCGATTTTTTGCATTGAGTTGATAGAGTAATTTGAGTTAACGAGCTCCTTAACGAGCTCGGTCTCGGAACGAATTAAACTCCTAAGTCAAGGCCCCATTGTACAGTCAACTTTATTTTTTAAGATATATTTTTATTGATTTTAGAGAGGAAGAGAGAGATAGAAACATCAATGATGAGAGGGAATCATTGATTGGCTGCCTCCTGCACACCCCCTACTGGGGACCGAGCCCGCAACCTGGGCATGTGCCCTTGACCGGAATCGAACCTGGGACCCTTGAGTCTGCAGGCTGATGCTCTATCCACTGAGCCGAACCGGCTAGAGCTACAGTCATCTTTAAATAGTTATTTGTGACAAATATGCCTATTCTCCTTTGGAAGATTTTTTATACTAAATAGTGCTGAATCTGTATTCTTTTTCTCTGTGGATCATCCTATAAATACCAATTGAAGGGTATTATAATCTAAATTGTTGTTGTGTTGGCAAGTTACGTATATGTAGCCCATTGCCTCCGCTGAAATGTAAGAAAGGAGTGTGAGCTTCAAAATTAGTCAAAGGAAAACAAGAAGAGAAAATTAGTTACCATAGCATGCTGTTTAATTCTAATTACAATTTTGTGGAATGCTAACAAATATATTTCATCCTATTTAAATTCTAGGCACATTCAAAGCAATAATCAACCTCCACAGCCCCCGGTTCCACCATTAGGTTACATGTCCGGAGCCTTGATTTCTGATTTGGAAACAGATGTTCCAGATGATGATGCTGATGATGAGGAGGAGGCTTTAGAAATCCCCAGGCCCTTGAGAGTGCTAGAGCAGACGCCCGGATCCAGTGTGGACAATCTGGATAGCTCTGTGACAGGTAACAGAACGAATTTATTAGGAATAACTGATCTATTTGTAACATTAAATGCATCAAAAATCAAATTCTTTTTATGTAAGATTTATTCCACTCCATTTATCTCAGTAACATTTTAAATAGGCCAATATTAAACACAGAACTCAAAAAGGATTTGAAAGTATTTTTGCTTTGCTGCAAAAATGATAAGAAAATTTCATGAATTTTAAAAAGCTTTAAATACATGAAAGAAAACTCAATTATACCCAGGGTTTTCATGAAAAGTTCACTCTACTGGAGAACCAAGTCTTTTATATAAAAACCTTGACTTTTGGAAATGATATATTTTATGTAACAGGAACGACATACAAAGTGAATGCAATCTTAATATGATTTTTGATATTTTACTCTGTAAAATCATTCATTGATGAAAAAAAGCAAGTGTTCAGAATAAGTATTTCTAAGGTTGCAGGGGTATTATTTTTAGAGTGAAGAAACTGTATAGAGAGATAAACCACACATTTATGCATTTCATATTGTTGGATCCAATAACTGCTTCTCTTAAGAAATGTATTGCTGTTTACTCCTCTGGCTTCCTCTTGCCTTGTTCACCGAGGGGAAGGTTGCAGGTGGTACTCTAGTAGGACGCTCTCAGTACTGAAGCCTATTTCCAAGGATTAAAATTTATCAAATTTTGTCAGAAAAATTTAAATTCTAATATATGCACAATGAATATGGAGAAAAGTAAAAACGTCTTTCTATTCAAGTAGGTACCATTTTTTACACACTTACTCACACACGTCTCTTGCATGAACATAAAGATGTAACTGCTAAATATGTAAGTTTGTCTTTGCTTGTCATTGGGTCTTCTCAAGCAATCACACAGGCATGTACAGTGGGGCCTTAACTTACGAGTATCCTAACTAAGGAGTTTGTTGAGATACCAGCTGTCTCTCAGCCGAGTTTTTGCATTGAGTTGACAGAGTAATTTGAGTTAACGAGCTCCTTAATGAGCTCCTTAACGAGCTGGGTCTCGGAACGAATTAAACTCGTAAGTCAAGGCCCCACTGTACATGCACATGGTAATGACCCTCAGGTAAATGTATGTAAGAACCAAAAATTATAGAAATCAGCATGCTAATGAATATTATTCTAACATGTTTATGTTTCCTTCAAACACATGGCTAGTTTAAGGGTGCTAAGTTATGTGGGCAATATGTTTTTAGTAGAGGATACTGATCTTACCAAAAATTACTGTGAGTTCTAAATTTGTGTGTGGTGTGAGCAAATTAGTCATTACTTTCACCTGAATTCTCTGTTAGAGATTTTCATTTTCATGAAATTAATGAAATAACAGTGATATTCCCTTCCCTGAAATTTTAAAGTCAACCAAAATGATATTCCAATTATACCATAGAGGTGGGCTTCTAAGCCTGTACATAAAATTATTCAGCCCTAACCGGTTTGGCTCAGTGGATAGAGCGTCGGCCTGAGGACTGAAGGGTCCCAGGTTCGATTCCGGTCAAGGGCATGTACCTTGGTTGCGGGCACATCCCCAGTAGGGGGTGTGCAGGAGGCAGCTGATCGATGTTTCTCTCTCATCGATGTTTCTAACTCTCTATACCTCTCCCTTCCTCTCTGTAAAAAAATCAATAAAAATATATATTTAAAATTATTCAGAATTGTGGATATATTATATTCCAACATCTGCTATGCTAAAGAATACCAGCAGTTAACAAGATATAGAGCCCATATTTATAAATAAATAAGTATATTAATTTCAAATATTTTCATAGCAACTAAGACATTTCTGAGGAATTTCTTAAATTTTGACATAAAGTTTCATAAATGGAAAAAGCAAAGAAAAATGGAAAATATCAGTATTTCCATATTTCATGAACTCGGTGTCTTAGTCTGGTCAGGCTGCTATAACAAAATACCATAGACTGATTGGCTTAAAGAGCAAACATTAATTTCTCACCATTCTGGAGGCTGGAAAGTCCAAGATCAAAGTGACAGCAGATTTAGCTCCTAGTGAGAACTCTCTTCATGATTCGCAGACGCTCTCTTCTTTCTGTACCCTCACATGGCAGTTAGAGAGCACTCTCTCTGGTCTTTTGTAAGGTCACTAATCCCATCAGGAGGACCTCACACTCGTGACTTCCTCTAAACCTAATTACCTCCAAAGGCCTCTCCTCCAAGTGCCATCACATTAAGGGTTAGGGCCTGAACATACACATTTTAGGGGGATACCAGCATTCAGTCTGTAAAATTCAGTAATGGAAAATGTATTTGCCAAATTGTTATGTCATTTAGAAATTCTCACAGCAAACACTTATTAAATGCCTAATTCTTCCAACCACTCAGCTAAGAATTGAGATTTAATAATGATATAATAATAATAACAACAATTTGCACGTATATAACCCTTAGTAAGTGAAAGGCACTTTTCTAAGCAGTGGCCTGTGTTTTTGTGTGGGCCTTAGTGAGCTAACAATATGTCTTACATTTTTAAATGGTTATAAGAAAATAAGAGCCCTAACCGGTTTGGCTCAGTGGATAGAGTGTCGGCCTGCGGACTGAAGGGTCCCAGGTTCGATTCCAGTCAAGGGCATGTACCTTGGCTGCAGGCACATCCCCAGTGGGGGGTGTGCAGGAGGCAGCCGATCGATGTTTCTCTCTCATCGATGTTTCTAACTCTCTATCCCTCTCCCTTCCTCTCTGTAAAAAAATCAATAAAATATATTTAAAAAAAAAGAAAATAAGAAACAATCAACAACAAAGACTATATGGCAGAGAAGGCAAAGCCTAAAATATTTAGTGCCTGTTACTTTATATAAAAAGTTTGCTGACCCTTGCTCTAAACTTTTAATATATATTAACTCATTTAATCATCATTTTATTTTTTATTTTCAGAATTGATAAACTACATACCTATATTTATTGAATTTATTGAGGCTACAACAGTTAATAATATAGGTTTCAGGTGTACAATTCTATAATACATCATCTGTATATTGTATTGTGAGTTCACTACCGAAGTCTAGTCTCCTTCCATCACCATTTATCCTCCTTTTACCCTCTTTGACTTGTCCTCAACCTCCCTTCCCTGTTTATTCTCTTTTTATAGAAAAGGAATTGAGTCACAGATGGGTTTAAAGTCCTTTTCAATGTCACACACTTGATAAGCTGTAGAAGAAGATTCAAAATCAGTCAGTCTTATGCTAAAGATAAGTTATCATAATCCCTGCTCTGGAAATGCCCAACTTTTTCTAATGTCTGGCTGTAGCATATTTAAGAGGAAAATTATTTTCCAGTCTATTACTTAACATCTCTCTCTCTCTCTCTCTCTCTCTCTCTCTCTCTCTTTCTCTCTCTCTCTTTCTCTCTCTCTCTGAAAAACATTAGTTCTTACCTTTATACACTAAATCAAGATAAAAAATAGTAATTTTTAGAAAAAAACTTATTTTTCTCATATTTATTTCTATATTCAAGAATAGTTACTCATTCTAACAAAATTAAACTCTATGAGCACTCTTTTAAAGAAATCACATTTTTATAATTTTAATTTATACTTAGAGTTTAAACCTGTTTGGTTGTAGAAAGTATAAAGATGTGTTGATCACAGCACAGCGCACTCTGGGGCTGGAAAGTGAACATGCAGGACTGTGTTAGTCTTCAGGAATATGCTTGAAATATTTCTTCGTAAACGCCAAACCCACATTTGGGTAACAGGATGGGAAGCCTTCGATACCTCTTTCTGTAACGTTTATGGTGGGAGTCCAGTGTAAGTGTTTCCTGAATTTAATGGCTCCACCACAGGCAAAAAGAAACAGAAGGCAATGGGAGAGGAGGCAGGAGGAAAATGTCCTAAACTCGGAGCCAAGATCGGAACTGCCACGTTGATCACAGAAAGTAACACTGAGAGCAACGAGTGCTGGGAAGGGAAATGGGAAAAAAAAGTTTCCTTCTCTGCTGGACCCCACAGAAATACCGCAGCTGAAAGGAAATTGTGACTCTATATTTTCTGTATTTTATGTCTTTTGAGGTTTTACTTGAACTCCCAAACCAGATCATTTTGAAATCAATAAAACCTGGCAGCCTCAACATCTTATTGGACCACACAGCTTTTAGAAAATTGGCCACTTAAATGTGTGACCTGACTCCTTGCTTTTGTTGCAAAAAATGTAAGAAAAATATTTCAATATTAGGGACATTTCAGAAATATTGCTAAAAGTAATTGTTGTTTTCTTAGACTACTTCCACAGCTTTGCTGTATTATAAAAGAAATTAAATATAAACTTCAAAACGTAACAGATAAAAGGGGAACATCATCTATTCAGTTTTTATCTGAATGGAACAAGTTAGCAGGTGTGAAATGTCCAAAGGAAGATATTTTATAATTACTTATTTTACTTTCTGTATGTATTACAGATATTTTTCTCTCTGAGAAATGTAGGTGGAATTGTTGCATGTTTACTTTTCTTTGAGTGAAAGAGGAACCTCTAAAGATTAGACATGTTTTCCTACATCTAGGTAGAGATCAATATTTGGATTCATTTGTCCAAAGACAATTATAACTGAAGATTTTATTTAATAGACTAGAGGCCTGGTGCACAAATTTGTGCACGAGTGGGATCTGGCCGGCCCGATCCCACATTGGGCTGTGCCAGTGGGGGGGAGGGGCCACAGGCAGTTGGCCAGCTGGCCCCGCCCCCAATCGGGGTGTTGGGGGCCAATTGGTGGCCAGGCCGGGGCAAGGGGGCTGATCAGGCTCCAGATCAGGCTGGTTGGCTGCCGCAGTTCGCGTCATAGCCATTGTTTGTTCTGGTTATTCTGGTTCTGCCATTCCGGGCACTGGGCTTTTATATATAGAGATAGTTAGACAGATTGTACTTAATAGGAAGATTTTCTGGATTAAATATTGACTGAAAAAAATGGGGGATAGCCAGTTTTTGTATCTCATAAAAATGGTAATGCAACAATTAGCAGGGTGATATTATAAAGCACAGACTACTCTAGCA